TGCCTATAAAAAGTGTAGATATATAATTTTTCTAATTCTAATTTATATGTAAATATTTTATCAATTTAATATTTATTTTTTTTATTTTTCTTCATGACCCTTTAAATGTATTTTTTTAATTAAATGACTGTTTTATAATATGATGAATAATTTAGTGATATGAAATGTATTTTACTTATTTATAATTTAATAAACAATACATATTAATAATAATAACATTTGTTCGAAACAATGGATCTCAGTGGTCAATGAATTATTATTATTCCTTGAGATATCGGGTTCGAACACCAGAAATGTCAAATGTAAGATTGTTTAATATCAAATGGTTAAGAGTTTATCTTTAACATATTTTATCTTATACTTACTCCATATCAATAATAATAATAATAATAATAATAACAGTCTAATCACACGTATTTTATTTTTATTACATTGAAATTAACTTTTTAAAAGATGTATAAGTATAATCATATCAAACGTTATAGTGTATACTCATTGGCAGATTCCAAATTCGAATTATTAATCTAGGTGCTTACAAGTGGATACTGGTAGTATCTGTCTTAAAGTCTCACAACTATTTGACCATAAATATTTAAATACCCTATAATATTTAGTGCTCGAATCTGGAACTTCTAAAAATAACAATCATTCGTTTAATCAATGAGATAGTTTGGTTCGTGCCTAAATTTGAATTAGGATGTAAATGCTATTCTAAAATATATATGCTCACTTTTAAAAATATTTTTAAACTCATATATATTTGAACAAAATGAGAAATTAAAATATATATAGATTCAAATTATAAAAAATATGAATGAATAAAAAAGTTTGAATCAACACATAATTTGAGTTAATATAAAATCGGAACATAAAATCTCAAAGATCTCCACAACTTTAAAACAAAGGATTTAACTTCATAAAAGGATGTCTTTTTGTTTAAAATAAAGCAGAAGTGTATTCAGTGATGTCAATGGAATTAATGATAGATTCTCCCCATCTAGAGGCTCTAAGGTAAGACACGTGTTCGTCATATTTTCTATTTGCATGATCTGCACGCTAAGGTGTATTCTTAGAATTATCTAATTCACAATTATACTTAAAATTTATATTTATTTATAAATATTATTACATGAAATCAAATTAAATAATATTTTAATTAAGATTTGATTCTTCAAAAATGTAATCTTTAAAATTATATTAGGCTGTTATCATTTAATATATACTCAAAATATTATAAAGTTATAATAAATTGAATATCAACAAGGGATGGATAATTTGATACGTTTCAACTTGATTCGATAGGGTTGTTTTTTTTAATTGAAATTTGGGTTAGATCGAGTTTTTCTAAAGGACGAGATCGAAGTGAGTCAGGTTTAAATTTAGGTAAAAAGAATATTGACTTGAGAAAATAATATAATTACCATTTATATATTTTAGAGATTATTACAATTATATCCATGTCTATTTTCTTCAACTAATTCTTTATTTTATCTATTGAAAATAATATATATATATATATATTGGGTTGAATCAGATGTGAATTTTAACCTAAAAATTGAATCGAATTTTGAGTTAAAAAATAAAATCTCCCTAAATCCTCGTTGTATTGAATTCAAATTTAGAGGTGTAATTTTATACTTAGTTTAGATGGGTCAAAAATTTGAGACGATCCACGATCATTTAGGGTGCGTTTGGTTCACGGAATATAAGATTACCAGTGGGAATGTAAGATTACCAAGGAATAGCATTACTGGGAATGTTGTATTTTGTGTTTGGTTGGCTTAGCAGGAATGTAAGATTACCATTTTGGTTAAAGGAATAAAAGATTATTGGAATGTATATTTGACCAAATTGTCCTAATTATATTTGTGTAATATTACAAGTTGGAAAATATTATATATTTCTTTAAAAAAAAATTAAATTCATAATATTTATATTTTTTATAAAATAAAAATAAAAAGTTTAATGAAAGGGTTAAAATTTTATTTAAACCTTGAACTTTATAAAATTTTAATTATAGATTTTTTTTTGTAAATCTAAAATAATTTAAGGATAATTTGTAATTTAACATTCGTAAAATTTTTATTATTCGTGACAGAATAATATATTTTGAAAAAATAAAAATTAGGGCATTTTAGTCTAAAACGCCGGTAATCCAACAATACCTAAGGAAAGGGAGGTAATGACATTCCCGGTAATATACCCCAAAAAATCCACTATTGGTAATCTTACATTACCGGAAATAGGATTTCCGTGCTAACCAAACGGGGGAATGTGGATTCCATTCCCATGGGAATCCCACATTCCCCAATCCAAACACCCCCTTATAGTATTAACACACATATGAATAATATATCCAATATATATTTAAAATTTTATAAATATTATAACAAATTAAATATACTTTATAACAATTAAAATATCTATACAACGACTGATAATTATTTGATTTATGTGATGGAGTATTAGATTTTTTTAAATAAAATTAAAAGTTTAAATTGTAATATTATAAAATAAAGTAAATTAAATTAAGATCGTTGTCTAAAAATGATAATTAATTTCAATTAATTTAAATAAATTAAAAATATTTATTTATAATTCTCATTGAAATTTTATTTTATTCATTAATAATATGATATATTGTGATTCACTAATAATACATTATACATTTATTCGTCCTGCACCTCTGGAAACTTGTTTAGTAAATTGATTTTTTTTATAGAAAATAATATTAACTTTCGATTCCTTTAAATTAATTAAATCTTTTTATCATGCTATTATTTATATTTAAACCATCATATTAATTATAAATTATTATATTAATATTATCGCAATTAATAAAAAAATATTAATCGAAAGAATATATTAGTATAATTTAAAAGTTTAAAAATAGTATTAAAAAGCGACAGACAATATGAACTAGTGTACTCGAATTCCGTACAAAAATAAATGAGATCGTGGGATTGTAACTATATGTGGAGTAGTAATACATATTACAATTTAACTCGAAACTGATAAATTCTGAATTAATCTGATTTGTTTTGATTTGATAGGATCAATTTTTTATTTTAAAATTCAACTTCAAATAAAATTTTATATAAAATAAGATCGGATCAATTTAAATAAAGATTGAAAAATCTTTAACTTGACCAATCCAAGAATAATAGTGTAACGTTTACATATAAATTTTACGAACAATTAATATAATTCTCTCTTTATATTTTTTTAATTAAATTCTTATTTTATAATATGTAAGGTCAGATCAAATTTATACCTTACAATATAAGATTAGATTGAAGAAATGTTATTTTCAAATCAAATCAAATAAAGTGTATTTATTTTATATAGATTGAATAAAATATATATATTTTTAAAATCGAATCGGTTTCACAAAAAATCCAACCATATCGTTGCCATCACTAAGGGCATCTCCAATCCTATCTCTACTCTAAAGCATCTCTATCTCTATTGTAGAGATGAAATAATAATTCATCTCCAGCGTTATCTCTACATTACCATCAATTCTATTTTATTTATAATATTTAACTATTATAATATTAATTTTATAAATATAAAAAATCAGAAAAATATAAAAAAATCCAAAAAATTACAAAAAAATTAGTAAAATTATTTATCTAATTTTAATATATTTTAATATATTTTATAATTTAATATACTTAAAAAAAAAAAAAAAATGTGGCGCAAGTTACAGTGCCGCGCCACATCTAACGCGGCACTGTAGCAGATCTCTACTGTAGAGCAAGATCTGGCGCAGCACTGGAGCGCTACAGTGCCGAAAATCGCTACAGTTAAATAGCATTGGAGATGGGCTAAGTAGTAAGTAGTACCTACAACCAAATAAAAAATAAAAAAATCGAGAGCACGCCCACTTTCCTAGGGAGCGAGTTACAACCACGCTCGAAAACAACACCATTGGAATCACGGAGCCCATTTGTCCGAGCCATTAACAGTGACATCTAAGGTTATGCTTCGATCTGACGCCAACAGATCAACTTTGATACCCATTTCCATGGTCCCTTACTCACGCTATCTCAATTTGTAATCTCTGAAAGTGTTTTTCCTTTTTCGATTCTTTGACCTTTGTAACCTGTAAGCCTTTTTCGCTGAATTTCTCATGTTCGTTGTTAAAGGACACACGCCTTTCCCCGGTAGAGCCGCTTTCAATGCGAAAGGACTGGAACAAGTTCCATTGAATCTCTTTGAAAGGACCTCCATTTCCATGGCTACCCCTCACTTTCTTCTCTCTGTAAAATTTGTAGCTAGGATGGCAGTCGGCATAAAGAATCAAATTTTATGGCTGGAACAAGTTCCATTGAATCTCTTTGAAAGGACCTCCATTTCCATGGCTACCCCTCACTTTCTTCTCTCTGTAAAATTTGTAGCTAGGATGGCAGTCGGCATAAAGAATCAAATTTTATGGCCACCAAGTGTTTGTCGAATGGTTAATAAATGTACAGCGTGGTAACTCTGTTTGTATATATCTGCTTTACATGCAAAGGGTCTTCAACTCTTCATCCTTTTAACATTCCTTTTTGTTGCGGTTACTAAGCTGTGGGGTTGCTTTAATATAAAGACTTGGCGATTTGTGCCAAATCCACAAGCCTTGAAGTGCTGATTTTGATATACCCTTTCTGAAGTTCCTTTTTTTGGGGTCTTCTTGTTTCAGATGTGGAATTCAATGCCCTTGTGATATTGCATTGAATTGAATTTATGTACCCTTTTGGCTTTTTCGGCGTGTGGATTGCTAGTGGTCCTTTTAGAGGTGTTTATTTACTGCTGCCTCGACCATTGAACTCAAACTTTGATATTTCTATATTTTCTTCATTGTATTCGGAGCTTTCTGCTGGTCAACACGAGGAAGGAAAGGCTTGAGGTGAGAAATGAGTAAAGTATTTTATTACTTCCATGGCATGTTCTTAGATTCAGCAAAGAAAAGCATAAATGGAAATCCCAATTTGAAATTGTTTCATGAATTCTAGTTAATATGATGGACGTGAATTAGAAGAAACAAGTTTGATTTTGAGCCTGGATAGGTGTTTACCAAGCTGAACTTTAGCAAGAAGAAGATCAAGCTGATCACCAAGTTTGATTTGTTTCCTCTTTGAACCGGTCCTTAAAAATATTTGGTTTTTGTGATGATTTTAATCAGACTAGCATTCCAAGAACCAGATTTTATCAAGGGAAACGTGAACATGGAGGAGATGAAAGAGATTGAGAGGGTTGAGAGAGAAGATCCAGAAGAGATAAATGGTGAGCAAGAGGAGTTGAAGAGGATTGCACCTTGGACGAAACAGATAACAATTAGAGGACTCGTAGCTAGCCTTCTTATTGGCATCATATACAGTGTGATAGTCATGAAGCTCAACCTCACGACCGGGCTAGTTCCGAACCTCAATGTCTCAGCCGCTCTTCTTGCCTTTGTATTTGTTAGGTCATGGACAAAGCTGCTGCAGAAGGTTGGATTTGCTTCAACTCCTTTCACTCGACAAGAGAATACCATAATTCAGACCTGTGCTGTTGCTTGTTATAGTATTGCTGTTGGAGGTATTTTTTGTCTGCAATCAGTTTTTGGTTCCTTTTTGAATTATTTTTTTATCATTGATTGGATATCAATTCACCTGTTTTGTTGTTTTTGTTTTCCATCAATTGTTCAGGTGGATTTGGTTCTTATCTATTGGGTTTAAACAGGAAGACTTATGAACAAGCTGGCGTTGACACCGAAGGCAATAATCCAGGTAGCATCAAGGAACCTGGGATTCATTGGATGATTGGTTTTCTCTTTGTGAGTTCCTTTGTCGGGCTTTTGGCATTGGTTCCTCTAAGAAAGGTATGCCTATTTCTTCTACTTCACTTTCTTGCTATTCAGGGTTTCCAAGAAAAACTGATAGATTCATTCACAGCCATATCATCTAGTCTTAGTTGGTAATTTGGGTCTTTATCATGTAAGATCATACCATGGATATATCATCTTAATAGTCGAGCATTTTTGTTCTGTCAGATCATGATAATCGACTACAAATTAGCTTACCCAAGTGGAACCGCTACAGCTGTTCTGATTAATGGATTTCATACTCGTAAAGGAGACAAAATGGCCAAGTATGAACCTACGGTTCCAATTCTTTTCTTTTCAAATTCAAAACTAAACTGGTTTCAATTGTGGCATAACTCGACCTTTTAATGTTCCATTTTGCAGGAAGCAGGTTCACGGGTTTCTGAAATTCTTTTCACTTAGTTTCCTTTGGGCTTTCTTCCAATGGTTCTATGCAGGTGGAGATGCATGTGGGTTTTCTCAGTTTCCTACATTTGGTTTGAAAGCATGGAAAAACTCGTATGTGCTTTAGATTTCATGTTCTTTATGTTTAACATTTTTCCACCTATACATCTCTTGCCATATTCATTGATTCAAGAAAGTTTGATTTTGCAGATTTTACTTTGATTTTAGTATGACTTACATGGGAGCAGGAATGATCTGTTCACATCTAGTAAACTTATCTTTGCTCCTCGGTGCGGTGCTTTCTTGGGAGTAATGTGGCCACTTATTGGAGGGCTCAAGGGAGAGTGGTTCCCTGCTACTTTACCCGAAAGCAGCATGAAGAGTCTAAATGGCTACAAGGTTTGCAGAGCTTCTCCCTTAATGATATTTTATTATTTTAGCTCCAATATTGGTTCACATTTCTCATTGGTTTCCGTTTATAATGCAGGTTTTTATTTCTATTTCTTTAATTCTGGGGGATGGGCTCTACAATTTTCTGAAGGTTCTGTTTTTCACTGCAAGAAACATCCACACTAGAGTTAAAAATAGTAACCTTAAAACATGTAAGTCAGCTACATTGTAAAATGTCTTTGTTGGCTCCTCTCAAGCTCATTACTTCAATTACTTTTTACTCATTAGCTATAGCTACCATCTTGTATGGATCTAGTAGAGTCTGTTTCCATTTTACAAGGGTATGTAAGCAATTAAAATATTTTGTTTTCATGGTCCCTTTTTATCACGAGACATGTAAAACGGTGTTCATTTGATCTTGGAAGTGCTAAACCCTATAAGCATCGTCATGTTCACATAGATCCTCGGAGAATAAAAACTTTACTTTAGAGAGAGTATTCCTAGAGAATAGCAGCTTTATTAACATTCTTTACGTGTAATGCAGCATCCGATAACCAGAAGTCGCATCCGGACGATCTTCATCGAAATGAACTATTCGTTAGAGAGAGAATTCCTATGTGGGTAGCATGTGCAGGGTACACTACTTTTTCTATCGTTTCCATCATTGTTATCCCTCAGATGTTCCCCGAGCTAAAATGGTATTATGTAGTTGTTGCTTACATTCTTGCACCCTCTTTGAGCTTCTGCAATGCTTATGGTGCTGGTCTGACTGACATGAACATGGCGTACAATTACGGGAAAGTAGCTCTCTTCGTTCTTGCTGCCTTGTCTGGAAAGGAAAATGGTGTCGTTGCAGGACTCGTGGGCTGTGGTCTTATTAAATCTATTGTTTCTATCTCATCTGATTTGATGCATGATCTCAAGACCGGTCATCTAACTCTCACTTCCCCAAGATCCATGCTTCTCAGCCAGGCTATCGGAACGGCCATCGGCTGTGTTGTAGCTCCTCTTACATTCTTTCTCTTCTATAAAGCTTTCGATCTGGGGAACCCCGATGGTCAATACAAAGCCCCATATGCTCTCATTTACCGAAATATGGCCATTCTTGGTGTTCAAGGCTTCTCTGCCCTTCCCTGGCATTGTTTGCAGTTCTGCTATGGGTTTTTTTCCTTTGCCATAGCGGCCAATTTGTTGAGAGATTGTACTCCCAAGTATATCGGGGAAATGGGTTCCCCTTCCAATGGCTATGGCTGTGCCTTTCCTTGTTGGTGCTTATTTTGCAATTGATATGTGTGTGGGGAGTTTGGCTGTTTTTGCATGGCACAAGCTAAATGGCAAGAAGGCTGGTTTGATGGTTCCTGCCGTGGCATCTGGCTTGATATGCGGAGATGGGCTATGGCTTCTCCCTTCGTCGATCCTTGCTTTGTTTAAGGTTCGTCCTCCAATCTGCATGAACTTCTTTGCAACAACATAGACTATTGTGTTAAGAGCACAGTGAGGAAGATAGAGAGTGAAGGGGCTTTGTTAGTTTACATATAACAAAACTAACTTTGTCGTAGATGGAAACGAAAACCAGTATAGCGTTCAATACACAATCTGTCCTCGAGTTATAGGTAGACGAACAATAGTTTAGGCATGTATTTATGCTGTTCTAAAGTAACATACATTATATGAGCTTCAAGTCTCAGGAAAAGTTGGTTCTTATGCAGATCAATGTATGCAAAAATGTTGTAATAAAATCCAGTTTAGATGATGAATAAAGAGCAGTTCGATACCGGAATCCGATTCAAGCAACCATTATGTTACTTGTTCTGTCATTCAGACAATTTATTTGTGCTGCCTGGATACACTGTTCTTTAAACTGTTCTGATTGTCTTGTTCATGCTTCACAAATCACAATGTGTAGAAACCCTATTTGCTTGTATGTACTTTAATCCCAACGTTTTAATTCTTGTTCAAAATACACCATGTTGAAAGGAAACCATTAGTTACCCATGTTGTTGACATATCTTTTTTACGTGTGCTTAATTGTTAATGTGATATGTGTCATGGCACTAAAATGATAACGTGAAATATATCATATCACCTGAAATGATGATGTGATAATTACCATATCACCTACAATAAAGAATTAGTATGTGTCAAGTCAATAATTAAACACATGTAAAAATGTCATGTCGGTAAATGTATCAACTGTTAGTCAACTAACGATTTTCTTCCTACAGAGATAATCTGACCAAAAATTGTTTATTAGGGGTTAAAATACTTAAAAATAAAAATAGGAATTAAAGTAACTAATTTATAAACGTTATGAGGTAATTTTATTATTATATTTTTTTCCCGAATACATGATCATACTTCACAGTAGGCAAAATCTTTTTTGCTCATATTTACTTTCTAAAGAACTGGAATTTTAGTGTAGCAGTAAAAACCTGGTTGAATATGTCTCAGTTAATATCATTATTTGCATTATTTCTGAAGCCATAAACTTCATTATTTTTGGTTTTTTCTGCTGGCAGAATGTGAATAAAAGCTACATATACAGAAATTGTTAGCAAAGGAAACAATGCTGCAAGAGTGTGTACCAGGAGGAATGGACTTTCTTCTACTCTACTGAGAATCAAACAGAAAAAAGGGCTTATCGTTTCTCATGACTTTAAGATCCAACGGGAAGATTGAAAGACATTAGTGTGCTGATTTCATTTTGTTTTTTCAAATTTTGTTGAGGATTAATCGGTGACCGACGATGTCGTGATAAGTTTGAGGCCTTTAAGATTTAAAGCTAGTTTTATTCCAGGTTTAATACAGAATTAAGTGTTTAAGTTATAATTTGTTTCTTATTCAAGTGTTAATGTTTTCCCGGTTAATATAGGTGTCTAATGTTACTAACATTATTATTTTAAATGTTCAGTTCGTAATGGCCGTTAAAAAAATTACATATCTTAAACGTGTCACGTTTATATTTTTCTGAAAATTTTATTTTTTAAAATCTACTTTTTTCTAAAATCCAAAAAACCCTAAATCTCTAAAATCTCTAGTTTTAATCCCTTTATTGTTGTCACTAACCATCTCTGCCACCACCTCTATCGTCGAAACCCATTTGTTGTCGCTCTCCACTGTTAGGCCAAGTTATATTATTATATGTTTGAAAAAAGGAATTTGAGGTTAAACTATGTTTAAAGCTAATTACATATGAACTTGTGGATGAAAGTGAAAGATTCAAAAGTTTGGGATCAATCTAGAAAGATGGTCATAGTTTAGGGATGAAATTAGAATGTTCAAAAGTTTAAGGATAAATTTAAAATGAGAGTCATAGTTTGAAGATGAAATTAAAATATTTAAAAGTTTAAGGACTAATTTAAAATAAAAGTTATAGATTGAGAACATATAATACAATTAACTCTTATTTAAAGAATATAATTTTGTGACCTTGATGATAAATTTTTTTTTGTTATTCTTAGAGGTCTCGTGTTCGAGCATCAAGTATGCCAGAGGTACGAGCGTTTAATGTCAAAAAATTGATAATTATCTTTAAATAGATACTATATTGTACTTACTTTAAATTAATATATATATATATATATATAATCTTGTTTATAGAATAATTCTTTTATAGTGCTAGTGCCTGAAATAATTACCATAAAAACATAATTCAAGATTATTTTATAGTTGTATATAGTATTTATGAATAATACTGTCACGTTCTATGAGCACGGATGAGTATTGTTAAATTAGTTTATAAAATGTTAAATTATAAAAATATTAATCATATAATTATAAATTAATTAAAAATATAAATGTAATTGAATAAAAATACAATAATTATAAAACATTAGTTTTAGGGTAAATTATACCATTGATCACCTAACTATTTACCCCTTTTACTTTAACCACCAATTTTTCAATTTTTTCAATCGTGTCACCTAACTATTTGAATCTTGTCAATCAAACCACATGCCGTTAAATATTAACGGAGGAGATGACGCGTCAATTAATAAAATTTATTTAATTACACATTTAGTCCTCATTACTTACACATTCTATTAATTTTGTCCTAACTTTTATTTATTTCAATAAATTTAATACTCAATCTAATGGTGACATTCGTCACTGTGTGATTGAATAAATGGAAAAATAAATTAAATCAATAACCGCAGTTGGTGGGTTTAACCACTAAACTGGACCACTAAATTTGTCTAATATGCAAAACATAATCTATATAATTTATAATATAATTAATGATAATATATGACCTTATAAGGACTCAAACATGAAATAATTTGAATAGTATGAATATATAAAAAAGTATTATAATTGATTAATAAATGAATATTTTTTATTTATATTTTAAATCACATTTAATGAAAAAATTAAAATAAAAGTGAATATAATATGTTATAATTGAAATGAATCATTTTACATATTTTAAATTAATAAATTGTCTTCATTATTCTAATTTTATTGAACTAAAATGTATCATATATTTTGAAATATTATAACATCAATCGAATTCTAATCTTATTTAACAACTCTATATTAAAATAGACTAATTCAATAAAATCATGTTTCTCTTAAAATTTTCTTCAAATATATAATGAATAAAAAATAAAATATATAATTCTTACTCTAACCGGGATATAAACAAGTCAATACATAAGTTAAAATGCTTACTACGATAAGCCTCAACTATCAGGAAAATTCAAAGTCAACAAAGCTCTTCGTTATATTTCAATTATAATATATTAAAATTATTTTTATTTTTTCATTAAAATGATTTAAAATATAAATAAAATACATTCAAATATTAATCAATCATAATATTTATATATATATATATATATATATATATATATCATATTATCACATTATTCAATTATTCCATGTTGGAGTTCTTATTAGGTAATTTTCCCTTATTTTATTGCCATTAATTATATATATTATGTCGTGATAAATTTATCATTTAAATGGTGCAGCCCAATGATTAGGGCATTTGGTACCTCTCCTCACGTCTTGGGTTCAAACCCCACCAACAACAATTATTGATTCAATTTATTTTTATATTCATTCAATTGGTGACATGTGGCACCATTTGATTGGATGAAAATTTTATTAAATTAAATAAAAATATTAAGAAAAAAATATTCAATCACACAGTGACACATGTCACCATCTGATTGAGGATTAAATTTATTGAATTAATTAAAAGTTAGGACCAAATTAATAGAATATGTAAGTAATAAGGACTAAATGTATAATTATACAGATTTTATTAACTGCCACGTTATTACTCCTCTATTAATATTTAACGGTAGGTGACTTGATTGACAAGATTTAAATAGTTAGGTGACCCGATTAACAAAATTAAAAAATTGGTGGTTAAAGTAAAATGGGTAAATGGTTAGGTGGTCAATGATATAGTTTACCATAAAAACTAATGTTTTATAAATATTATATTTTAATTAAATTACATTTAGATTTTTAGCTAATTTACAATTATATATTTAGTACTTTATAATTTAACATTTTATAAATTAATTTAATAATGCTCGTCGTTAAATATGCTCATCTATGCTCGACGAGCGTTATATATTTTTTTAATATTTATATGCTTTTTAGAAATCATATAGTTTATTGATTGTTTTAGTTATAAAATTTTAAAGTAATATATAAAAAAATAAAGTTTTTAGATCCCAATATACGCCTAAGATAGCTGCCAAGAAGCACAAGCCAGAAAATACAATATGTGCTCCGGTCACACCTTCGAAACTTTAAATACCCGGATTTGTTATAGTCCCCTTGTATTTTATTAATGGGATTAGTTTTCACATGTAACTAACAGAAAATTTATTTAAAAAAATTACATATAGTTGGATTTAAGTCAACGTTTGACTCAACACGTGGTCTAGAATTTTAAAATATTATAAAACAAAAACAAAATAAAATAGTTAAGAATATACTCCAATTTACCAGTATATGGCTGCTCAAACTCGGATTTCTCGTGTCTGGGTTGAGTACAAACCATTCCTAGTAGGCTGAACTAGAAATTTAAATAATGATCCGCTATTGAAACAACGGTTGCTATATAACGATAATGATGTCATTTGAAACCATTATTTCACCATTAATTTGCAACATATAGTCTCTGAAAATGCAGTATAATATGTAACAGAAATTAGTACATTCATGTCTTTAAATTCCCATACAACTCTACGAGTTGAAATAAAACAAAAACACAGTTAAACCACTGCAAGTAACAAATGTACCGACCTAGGACACAGGAACAAGATGATAACATCAACTCTGAAAGTACTTTTGATTTTCGTATCACATAATGTATGTGCATATATATATATATATATATATTGGTCGTTTGCAAGCAAGGATGACTCAGTGCTTTGCAGGACGAGGAGCACGACGGCGAACAGGCGTCTTTGACGGGGCTACCCTGCATACGTAACAGGCAAATAATCGCATAAGATTACGCAAGAATTCAGATTTTACGACCTTGAAAATTTTGGAGCCTCAAGGACCAACCTAATCGGCAGTGATCCCAGAACTGCACCACTGAAGTTGAGAGCTGCAGTAGCACTCTCAGCCTGCAAATAGTGATTATAGAACATAAACATCACCCTTACAAACAGCATCGACAGATATTCCGGTCTTACGAATTGAGCTAGAAGTATGAGAAACTCTGGCAAGCAAGTTGCAGCAGTTTCGGTAAACTGATAATCTAATCGACACCGAAAACCTGATATCGCAACCATTTCGGTAAATAAAGTTAGCAAATGGGAAAATACCATTGTGAACTCAACAAAAGCACTCTGAGTTGGATGCTGAGAGTCTTTCAATAACCTCAATCGTCGAATCTAACATAAAGAGCAAACGTTCAGTAAGAAGTCATACAAGGCGAGAAATATGTCCACCAGGGCTTTTACTGCCAGTTCCAATCCTGGATAAAGGTCACAAGGGAACAACAAACCTCTCCACAAGATGATTCGAAGAAGAGCTTGACGCCAGCTTGAGTAACCTGTATCAGTTGAACAAACAAACCAGGAATCATTGCTCCGGTCGTCAATCACACTTGCATTCGAGAAAAAAACAGGACATTAGAAACTACCTTCTTGTGTATGTTTGCACAGTAAATGGTCCTTGAGCACATCTCACGTTCGCCATCGGACTGAAGAGCATAAAACAATCGAAGAGAAGTAACAAACTATGGTGCATATTTAACCTAGAACTAAGAATGAAGTTCGTTCATCATATTCATGCTGTACCTTGGGTAAAAGTGTGGGGTTAACAGGTGCAATTGCAGTCTTGGAAGGCACCACTTTCAAAGGGTAAAACCCGAGAATGGTTCCGGACAAGTTCAAAGCAGCCTTTGCAGCCTCTGCGAAAACATCGAGACATCGATGTCGTAAAATGAGGGCAGATATCAATGCTTGCCAAATTCATAAGACTTCCGTAATACCTTCGTTATGAAACTCGATGAAGGCAAAGCGGAGAGCTGATGTAGGATCCCTACACATGCGACAGTCAACAATCTACAGATCAAAACCAGAGTAAAGTTAAACCTTAGGGGAACAATCCAACACTATTAAGTTAGATAAACTGATAATTTTCGCATTATATCGGAGGAAAAACAGATACCGGTCCACAACTCAGAAAGAGACCTGCAAGAACCTCCTCAGTAACCTATATATAACAACCATTAGCAATCAATATTTTCATGCATATGAAGGTTCCTTCGAAGATCATATCTCGAAAGTCGAAATTCATATCCAAATATAGGTTGAACACGAGTAATTCGATAAAAATGAAGAGTCAGAGCAACATAAACTAACTATACCGGTGACGAAGAGCAAGAAAAGATGGATTCACCTTTTGATCAATATACGTAACATAAATGGTGTTCCTAATAACATCATCACTCTGAGCAATGCCTGTTTTCTTATTCAACTTTCTCTTCGCTTGACTATACTTTTTGTTCCTCCCCTGAGTGGAAAAGAACAAGAGAAGATCAACAAAAGCAACCAAATTGAAATCATTTTCTGATAGAATTAAAAGGAATTTGCCAAAGGGAAATGAAATATACCTTTCTATTTTCAGAAGATCGATTAGCAAGGGAAGGTGGTATGAACTCCTTAGCCATTGGATTAAGCTTAGACAAAATCTCAGCCAAATCACTCGTTCCGTTCTTCAAAATTTCACCATTCTGCAGGTCAGTGTTGTTATCGCCATTGCCATCTCTGTTAACAGCTGCTGCCGGTTTTTCTTCTTCGAGATTGCCTTTCTTAGCATTCTCCACATTTCGACCCAATGACCCCGAATTCTCAACGACCGCCATGATCAAATGTGTTTCAGATTCTTCTGTAAACAACCAAAAGAAAAAAAGAAAAAGAAAAAAACAAAAGATCCCATCTTTACTACCCAAAAAAGAAAAACTACAGTTACTGTTGTTAATGTCGGAGAGAAACGGCAACGTACCTGCCTTAACCAAATGTTTCTCCCCTCGATGCTGGAGGCCAAATCAACCTCAAAGATGGTTACTTTACGTACTGGGAATCTAACTAAGAATTAATGATGAAACGAACGAAAACAGAGTGTAAACGCTTTGTTTTTGGCTTGTGTTTTATGTTCTATGATACCATATAAATATGTGGTTATGGTTGTAACGAAAGGTTGTTAGGATTGAATTCTTTCCAACGTGATAAAATTTTATTTTAATTTAGTAAGGTTGTTAGGATTGAATTATTTTTACATTTACTAATTTTTAAATCTATCTATTAACTCAATATTATAAATGCTAACTACCATATACTTTGTCTTATTTAAATTTTAGTAACGTTAGATTCTAATAAATTTATTTTTTATCTCATAATAGTAATATAAAATATTATTAATAAATGAAATATATAATTAATAATGTTCTTTAAAATAGTAAAAATAATCATTAAATATAAAAGTAATTTATAACGTATTTGTTTATTTAAATTATGTTGGTAAATGAATTGATGTTATTCCTTGAGGTCTCGGGTTCGAGCACCATAAATGGTAGAGGTATGAGCGTTCAATATCAAATGGTTGAGAGTTATCTTCGAACATATATTACATCGTATTTACCCCAAATTAATAAAGAAAACAATTATGTTCGTATTATCATAGTATGTTTAAAATTAAAACTTAATAGTAATATATTAGTATATTTATTTCATGAAAAACATATTTTGAAAAACGTTTTCTTCATTTTTCAATGTTTAGTTGGCATAAAATAAATTTATTAATGTAATTCATTTTCTTGATCAACATAATTTTCTTTGTATTTTCTAAAAAATGACTTACAACCTGTTTTTTGTAATTCATTTTTGAACTTTTTATTTTAAAGTATAATTACTTAAAATAATATTATTTTATGTATTTAATGTTAATATATATATATATATATATATATATATATATATATATTAGTATCATTTTAATAAAAATATTAATTATTTTATAAAAAGTATAATCCATTTTTCAAAAAAATATTTTCTATAAAATATTTTCATTAAAACAAACAAACCCTATATTTATTTGCCTATATTATATTTTCAAGTACGTAGATGTTAGGTAGAAGTGAGCAAAACTCAACTCGATTGAAAAAATATTTTTTTATTTTGAGTTGTTCAAGTTGAGCTATTCAAGTTATTTGAGTCAATTTTTAAGTTCGAGTCGAGTTCAAATTTAAAAATTTCGATTCGCCTGGAAAACAAAAAATGTGGCTGAATATTTTGATAGTTTTACGATTTAGCCCATTATTTCCTTATTCCTTCAATTTCATTTTTATCAAATATGAACCACATATTCCTAAACTATTGTAGAATGCCTATGCACTTTTAATTTCTATTTTTTTATAACAATTTTTCTATTTTTCAATTTAAACCCTCAATTTTACATGATTTCCATATTTTAATTCATTCTTCATTTTAAGTCCGTTTTGACAAAATTTGAACCGCTCTCATACCACTATAGAATAACTATGTAACTTTAATTAATATTTTTTTTACTAAAGATATACTCTTTTTTTTTAATTTAGTTCTTTAACTTTGTACGTTACTCAATTTGGTCTTTTGACTATAATTATTTGCAAATTCTTTCTCTAGTCAATTCATTGACTCCTTTATACTCCCATCAATATTTTACCTTCAAAATACATTCTTTGAAATATAATATTATAAATATATTTCATAATATTAGATTGTATTTGATATATTAAATAACACTATAATGTGAAAAGAATATATAAAGTGATATATATCTTATATGGTTAGAGAAGGTCGAGAAATTGGAATCAACCTGTATCATATACTATAAATAATTATAATTAAATTTCTATAAAAACACGACTCAAATTTTATAAAATCGATTTGACTCGATAAATTTCATATTAAGTTTGAATGATAAAATACAACTCATCAACTCGAAATTTGTTGACTCGACACGACTCGATCGAATACTCACCCATAATATTAAGGATCATAATTCATATTACGGATTTGTCTAATTTATTTTTTATGGATTCATATAATATTTAAATTGGATTATAAATAGTAAATAATTATTTATTATGGATTTATAGTAAAAGTAGATATACATTTACATTATTTTTTTAAAGCTGATGTGAATTCAGATATTCAAATTTTATTTTAGATTATAAAACAAAGAATATGTTTATTTCTGGGGGAATTTGAAACTCGATCATCTTGAATTATAGTGGATCTAGATTTCTACATATTTGGATATCGATGAATAATAATATTTGATTCAAATTTGGTTTCAGAGAGTAATAGCTGGATAATTTACAAATAAAAATGGATTCAAATTTTAAATAAATTTATAGATTCGAATAATTTAAAAGTACATATTACTCACACTATGTCAATCCTATAAGGTAAACATAACCACAAGTATTTGATAAAGTCGAGTAGAATAAATAAAACATATTTAAATTGGTTAAGTCGATGAGTGTTGTTTTCAGATAATAATGGTTGAGTCATGTTCTATGAAAAATTTCCACGTTTTTCTCGTGGATAATAATTTTTACGGTCGTTAGCGAAAAGGTCAACATGGGAGAATGCATTTGGATATTTTATGTGATGATTTTTTTTATATTAAAAAATTGACTATTCAATCTCAATATTTTAATTATTTATTTCCAGATCTACGATCCTTTTTATAAATATCATTATCTTAAGAGAAGAAAACTATCAACTTTTATTACAAGGTCATCTTAAAATTGTAAGAGTTGTGGAAGCAAATGTTATTCTATGAGTATGGACACATTGAAAATATTCAATTGTTTCTTTTTTTTTATTCGGCTCAAAATGTAAAAGGTAAATTCTATCGTATATTATTAAATGTTAGGGTTCGTATCGATCATATTATTAAATTTTCATTTACTTCAATTCTAATATTAAACATTTGAACTTTAATTTCAATTATGTTATTCGATCGTTGATTTGATAACGACGTGATGACATGGACTCTTCTTATGCCGCTGTGCTAACAATGTACTCAACTCACATCTTTTAACAAGTTACCCACCAGACCTATAACGTACTGTAATGACCTAATTTCATCCAAATCCCATTTCAAACCTAAATAAAAAGGCTTAATGTCAAAAATAAGTGCAAACATAAATTATCTGACCCCAATTTAACAATTTAATTACGTTTTCTTAATCAATTGGTTCGATTTAGAAACTAATTAAAGACCGTAAGAGATAAAAATAATAATAACTAAAATATTTTTTTATAAAGTTTGAGGGTATAAAATGTTGTGGAATTCGGGTTAATTTCTACCAATAATAACAAATTCACCTTGAAAACTATTATCTAGGTGACTAGTGTAAAAACGATTGTACTAAAAATCACCCCAAAGTATATTCCCAGGAAAGAGGAGGGGTCACAATGATCCCTCTTAAAACCCACTTTCCTTAGTCAGAACTACCAAGACAAGTAATTTTAATAGGACAATAATTAACAACAACTATACTCGACAATAGCTATTAAATAGACATAAAAGAGAACACCAAATTTAACAAGGTTCGGCCAAAATTATGCCTATGTCCTCGAACACTACTAAAATAATATTTCACTAATAGAGGAAATATTACAAAGAGAGAAAGAGTACAAATAGCCTTTAATAGTGAAGAAGGCTTATATTTGTGGGATGCTAAACTAAGGAGGAGGAGGGCTCTATTTATAACAAAAGAATTTCCCCTCCTCCTTATACACAACCAATGTGAGATTTTGCCAAAAAACCAACAAATCTTCACCTTGGCAAATTCCACACACATCTCTAAAAAATCCAATCTTCAGTAGTGTCTGCAAATTCATCTTTCAATTTGTAACAATATTGACAAAGTCTAAACAATGTTTAAACTTGGCCGCAATTACCACTTTTGTCAACATATCAGCAGAATTCTCAATGGTTCGAATCTTCTGGATTATGACTCCACCTTCTTCTAGAATCTCTCGTACAAAGTGATATCGAACATCGATGTGCTTCGTCCTTGCATGGTAAACCTGGTTCTTTGCTAAATGAATAACACTCTGACTGTCATAATGCACTTTGATGTGCTTCTGTTCCATTCCCAATTCACCAAGCAACCCTTGAAGCCAAATTGCCTCCTTCATAGCCTCTGTAACTACCATATACTCTGCCTCTGTAGTAGACAAAGCTACTGTTGATTGTAATGTGGACTTCCAACTGACTGGTGCCTTTGCAAATGTAAACACATAACCAGTAGTTGATCGATGCTTGTCCAAATCACCTGCATAGTCTGAATCTCAATACCCAACTACACACTGACCATCTTGTTTGTCCTGCTGAAAGACCAAACCAACATCTACGGTGTTCATAATATATCGCAGAATCTATTTTACAGCTTGTCAATGCTCATTTCCAGGATCATGCATATACCTTCTCATAACCCCAACTGCCTGTGAAATATCAAGTCTCGTTCATACCATTGCATACATCAAGCTACCAACAACACTTGCATACAGAACCTTTGACATGTATTCCCATTCTACATCATACTTAGGTGACATGGATGCATCAAACTTGAAATAAGAGCAAGAAGTGTACTAACTGGTTTTGAATTCTCATTCATGCCAAAACGTTTTAGTACCTTACTCAGATATTCTTTCTGAGACAAACAAAGCCTCCCCAATTTCTTATCCCTTGATATCTCCATGCCTAGAATCTTCTTCGCTTCACCAAGATCCTTCATCTCAAACTCCATGTTCAATTGAGTCTTTAGTTTCGCAATTTCTGTCTGACTCCTGGAAGCTATCATCATATCATCAACATAAAGAATAAGATAAATATAGGACCCGTCTTGTAGCTTGCGTAAATACACACAATGATCATATTTTCTTCTTATGTACTTCTGCCCTATCATAAACTTGTCAAATCGCTTGTACCACTGCCTTGGAGATTGCTTCAAATCGTACAACAATTTTTCTAATTTGCACACCATATTTTCTTTTTTAGCAACTTTGAATCCATCTGGCTGAGTCATGTAGATTTACTCATCCAAGTCTCCATGTAAAAATACAATTT